TTGCTAACACCTCCTCCTTATGAACCTCAATCCCGTCTAGTCTAATAGCCTGTATCTCAGTATTTTCCTCGACTGCATTGTCTTTGAACAGGATGAGGGGCAACAGTACAAGTACTTGTACAGTACCTTGTACTGTTGCCAGGGAACAGGGTGAGGGATAACAGGACAGGGTGAGGGGGTAACAGGGCAGGGTGAGGGGTAAAACTCAGGTGAAGGGTAAGAAAATAGGACGGGCCAGTGTACTGCAGACAGGTGGTGCTGGTTTTGTGGCAGCACAGTTCCAGTTTGCTATTGTTTGCTGAATTGCTCAACCTCTGATCAGGGCAAAATGATCTTTTCTTATTCAATGAATGTTGTTTTACTAGAGTCGAGCAGCATCAATTCCACGTCCAAAACCTAGTGAGAATGATTTTGAGACAATTAAATTGATCAGTAATGGAGCATATGGGTAAGTCAATTATTGGTTCATTTGAAATCTTTTCTTTTGAAAAGTTGCAGTGAGTTGGAATAAATGAATGGTTTTAACCAGCTGTCTGTGTTCCCAGAGCAGTGTATCTTGTCCGACACACAGAAACAAGGCAGCGATTTGCCATGAAGAAGGTTAACAAACACAACCTGATCCTCAGAAATCAAATCCAGCAGGTCTTTGTTGAGCGTGACATCCTGACCTTCGCTGAGAATCCGTTTGTTGTCAGTATGTACTGTTCCTTCGAGACCAGGCGCCACCTCTGCATGGTGATGGAGTATGTGGAAGGTAAGGATTGAGAATCGCAAACAGCAAACAACTCAAGCCACTGGTGAATCAGGTCCAACTGCCAGGTCATTTACCATTATTGTGATCTTGTGTCTGAGAATAAAACTGGACAGTGGAGCAATACACATCATGAAGTACCAGTTTTGTCATAGCCACACCCTCAGACAAGGTATTCTAGAGCCTGACCACATTTGGTTTATTTTCATTTCACTTTTCCTTCTTTTGCAAATTACTTTATGCCCTCTCGTTCCCAATCTTTCTGCCAATAGAAACATTTCCTCACCCCTTCTGCCCTCTTGACCTTCATGAATATGAACACCTTGATCTGATCTCCTCTCAAAATTCTTCAAGGAAAACTATTCCAGCTTCTCCAATTTATCTTCACAGCTGAAGTTCCTCACCCTCGGAATCATTTTGGTGAACTTTCTCTACATTCTGTCCAATTTCTTCTTATCCTTCCTAAGTGCATTGCCCAGAAATGGACGCAACACACCAGCTGAAGCTGAGCTAGTGTCTTATACAAATTGAGCCAAATTGCTGTGCTCTTGTCATTAATGTCCCTTTTAAGGAAGTCTAGCATCCTGCGTTGTTTAATAATCACTCCCTCACCCTGTTCTGCTGCTTTCAATGATTGATACAGAACTATTCCCATTTGAATACTGTTCCTGTCCCCATCTCCCTGTGTTAGGGTTCCGACTGAACTCAAAACTGGACTCAATGTGTACAATAATGGGACCTGTCTATTAAATGCAGTCACAGACTCATCATTAAAGCAATGGCAGGAAATGTGAAATAACCAGGAAATACAATGTGGAATAACGGGAAGCACCATTGCTGGGGAATGGTTTGGCGTAACAGGGCAATGCCAGTGCAGTGGAAGAAGTAGCACAGAAATTTCACTGGGAAATTCTGTGTTAAATGGGAAACAGTGTGCTATAAGGGCAATCATTAGGGATTTACTTGATCATACAAAAGGAGAGACTGACTGACACTAGGAATGGTTGATTCAGGAGGGACACGCTTATGATTTTCACTGTAAGCAGTACAAGACTGAGTGGAGAATAGCTCCATTATCCTCCTTCACTAACTCCCTATCTAGACTGTAACACTGGTTCAATGTAACTGCAAGAAGCTAGTTTGCTGTAATGTGCAAACACCAATGTGGTGTCATATGGCAGGAGAATGTTGGAGTGGTATTACAAAGGGTGTATCTTAGTATCAGTTATCAATGGATGTTTTGAACTTATGCTTGTGACTGAAAATTGCTGTTCCTTTGAGACTTCTTGAGGCCTGAGGTTAATGCAGGACACAGATTAAGAGTCTGACAAACTGCATTTTAGAAATTTGGCTGCAGCAACTGACAGAGAATTTTCACTGCTCCCGCAATCTCTGACTGTGGCAACAAACAAACCGTGGAACCACTGACGTCTAAGTTACAATGGGGGACTAGAGCAAGTTGCACAGAGATTTGGCCCTCTCTGGACCCACAGAGTCATGGAGATGTACAGTGCGGAAACAAACCCTTTGGTCCAACTCGTCCGTGCCGATCAGATATCCTATATAAATCTAGCCCCATTTGCCAGCATTTGGCCCATATCCCTCTAAACCCTTCCTATTCATATCCCATTCAGATGTCTTTTAAACATTGTAATTGTACCAGCCTCCACCTCTTCCTGTGTAGCTCATTCCATACACGCACCATCCTCTGTGTGAAAACGTTGCCCCTTAAGCTCCTTTTAAATCTTTCCCCTCTCACCTTAAACCTACACCCTCTAGTTTTGGACTCCCCTACCCTGGGGAAAAGACCTTGTCTATTTACCCGATCCATTCTATAGCTTTGTCTCAGATTCTGCATGCTGTATATTGTATGAAGAATAATCAAATGTGTAAAGGCTGTAAATACAAATGCAACGGAAAACACAATGGAGTCAGTTCATTTTTTCAACACTCATTCCTCACACAGTCCCAAACATAGACTGGAAAATATTGAGAGGGGCAAGGTTTAATAGGGACCTAAGGGGCGACATTTTTACGCAGAAGGTGGTACGTGTATGGAATGTGCTGCCAGTGGAAGTGGTGGAGGCTGGTACAATTACGACATTTAAAAGGCATCTGGATGGGTATATGAGCAGGGAGGGTTTAGAGGGATACGGGCCAAATGCTGGAAAATGGGACTAGATTAATTTAGGATATCTGGTCGACATGGACGAGTTGGACCGAAGGGTCTGTTTCCGTGCTGCACAGGTTTATGTCTCAATATTAGAACAGGAGCCCAACATCTGGTCATAAAGGTTGGATTCGAAGGAGGAGAGAGAAAAGAAGATGGAAGTGTTTAGGCAAGGAATTCCAGAGCTTAAGACCAGGGCACGTTGCTGATGGGGAAATGATTAATATTGGGACATCCAAGGTCATAGTGCTGGATTTGACTGATTCTGCTCTGTGTGTTCAGGTGGCGATTGTGCTAATCTTCTGAGGAATATCGGTCCCCTGCCAGTTGACATGACCAGGATGTACTTTGCAGAAACAGTTCTGGCGTTGGAATATCTCCATAATTATGGCATTGTGCATCGGGACCTCAAACCAGACAAGTAAGAAGTGTCACAGAATTTGCAAATATCATCTTGCACCAAGGAACCATAAAAGTGTAGGGAAATTTGATAATAGGATAAACTTAAATGCTTTGTATCTTAATGCATGAAGCATTCAGAAAATGGTCGATGAACTAAGATGCAAATTGAGGTAATGAATGTGATCTCATATCCATTGTGGAAAAAAGGTTACAAGGAGGTCAACTCTGGGAACTTAACGTTCAGGGATATTTGACCTTTCAGAAAGACAGGTGTAATGGAAAAGGTGGTGGGATAACACTGTTAATAAAGAGATGGAATGAGAACAGTTGTAAGAGACAATCTCAGCTCAGATGATATAGAGTCCATTCAGTGGAGATAAAGAACACAAGAGAAAGAAGACATTGTTAAGAGTAGTGTAAACACTCCCAGACAGTAGATACTTTGTAGGAAATGCTATAAAAAAGACAAATAGTAGAAACATGTGAAAGTAAAAAAGCAATAACTATGGGTGACTGTAATCTTCATGTTGATTGGGTTAATCACATTGGAAAGGGCAGCTATAACAACAAATTCGTAGACTGCATTAGGGATTGTTCCCTAGAGCAATATGTCAAGGAGCTAACCAAGGAGCAGGCTATCCTGCATCTGGTAATGGGTAACGAGGCAGGTTTAATAAGTGAACTCAGAGTAAAAGATCACCTCGGAAGTAGTGATCATAACATCATTGAATTTAATATTCAGTTTGAGAGTGAGGACCTTGTGTCAGAAACAATTGTGTTTAACTGAAGTAAAGGGAATTGTAATGAAACAAGGATAGAGTCTAAAATGAACTAGGTAGATAGATTAGCAGGAATGGCAGCATGTAAGCAGTGACAGACCTTTAAGGAGGTAATTCATGGCTCTCAGCAAAAATACGTCCCAGTAAGGAGGATAGATTCTAAGACAGTGGTAAGCCAACCATGGCTAACAAAGGTAGTTAAGGAAATTATTAAGTGGAAAGAGAAAGCAAAAGATCAGTGGTAGCCCTGAAGACTGGGATAAATTCAGAATCCAGTAAAAGTGGGCTAAAAAAGATAATAAAGGCAAAGGACAAAGAACTGAACAGGAACAGGCCCTTCAGCCCACCAAGCCTGCACCAACACACGATGCCTTTCTAAACTAAAAACCTTTTACCTGTATGTCGTGCATATCCCTCTATTCGCTGCCTGTTATATATTTGACAAGAAGCCTCTTAAACGTTGCCATTGTATCTGCCTCCACCATCTCCCCTCACAGCGCATTCCAGGCACTTACCACGCTCTGAGTAAAAAATTTGCCTCTCACACCTCCTTTAAATTTATCCCCTTTTACCTTAAGCCTAGGTCCCCTAATAATTAAAACTTCTATCCTGGGAAAAAGACTCCGACTATCTGTTCTATTCATGCCTCCCATAATTTTGTAAACTTCCATCAAGGTTGCCCTCAACCTTTGAAGTTCAAATGAAAACAAACCAAGTTTGTCCAATTTCTGCTCACATCTAATGCCTTCCAAACCAGGCAACATCCTGATAAACTGTTTCTGTACCCTCTCCAAAGCCTCCACATCATTCTGATTGTGTGGCATCCAGAACTGTACATAATTTCCAAACGTATCTGTGTGAGTTTCCTCCAGGTGCTCCAGTTTCCTCCCATATTCCAAAGATGTGCAGGCGAGGTGGATTAGCCATGGGAAATATAGGATTACAGGGATAAGGTGGGGGTGTGGATGGGTCTCTTTGGAGGGTCAGTGTGGACTTGATGGGCCAAATGGCCTGCATCCACGCTGTAGGGATTCTATGATTCAGTCCCATTAATTCTCTTGTATACATTTCTCACCTTTTAGCTCCCAATTCTCACTCATCCATCGGCTTTCTGGTGTTCTGAAAGTTTTTTCTGTATTTTTCCCTTTGTGTGGGGATGGGGAATAATGAGCAGGTACTCTAGTTAACAATATGTAACTAGTGATCTCCACAAGGATCTATGTTGGGTCTCATCTATTCACCTTTTCCACTGATCCCTGATATGATGGATATAAAGTGAAAATCTAATTTGCCAATGACACAAAGCTAGAGAGTATTGTAAACTGTGTGGATGGAATTATATTAGAAAGGGATATGGTGTAATTCTAATTGGACCTAAATGGTTTAAAACAAGAAACTTTCAAAATGCTGAAACAATCGTATCCAAAAAGAGTTTAGGCTCAGATGTGAAGCTCAGTAAAATTTCATGGACAGAGATGTATGGTTGATCAATTGTAAATATTAATTATGAAACTTCTGGATTTTGGATTTTCAGAATTTTCAAGGGATTTGAGGAAAAGGGGTGAGGTTACAGATCATCTATCTTGAGCGGACATTAAGCCCTCCTTCTGGGCCCTGTATAATGTAGACTTGGCGTACAATCTGGGACAATCATGTGAGAAGTCTGTTGAGGACTATCTAGATGTCAGGAGCAACATATTGTATTTTCCAGGAGAGCCCCCCATGTTGAGCGTCTCACTGTGGAGCAGCTAGGTTCTTATTTCTGGGAATTATTGTTCATTCTCACCCTTATTAACACCCAATCTCACCTCATTAATACGCAGCTAGGGCATCACAGAATGGATAGAAACTAGATGCTGAGAATTCCCATGGAAGTCAGACTGGGACCCTTGCTACTGCACATGTCACATGCTCCTCTAGGCTGCCATCTTGGACACATGCCACCAATATCTCAAGGCCAACAACAAGGGCTTCTCTAAATATATAAAAAGAGAGGCCAAAGTGAGCATGACCACTTTAGAGAATGAGGCTGGTAAGATAATATTGGGGAATTGAGGAATGGTAGAGGAGTTCAGTAAATACTTTACATTAGTTATCACTGTAGATGGCATTAATAAAATTACAATATTATTAAATAATCAACCTGCAAGAGAAGGTCTATCACCAGACAAAATGGAAAACTAGACATTAGGGAAACTAGTGTGGTTGAAGACAGAAATGTTCCCTGATGGGATACAAAGTAATAGAGTCATACAGTTATACAGAAATTGACGGAAACAGACACTTTGGTCCAACTTGTCCATGCCGATCAGATATCCCAATCTGACCTAATCCCATTTGCCAGCATTTGGCCCATAACCCTCTAAACCCTTCCTATTCATGTACTCATCCAGACGCCTTTTAAATGCTGTAATTGTACCAGCCTCCACCACTTCCTCTGGCAGATCATTCCATATACGCACCACCCTCTGTGTGAAAAATTTTCATCTCGGGTCCCATTTAAATCTTTCCCCTCTCACTCTAAACCTATGCCCTCTGGTATTGGACTCCTCTACCCAAGGAAAAAGACCTTGGCTATTCACCTATCCATGTCCCTCATGATTTTATAAACCTGTATAAGGTCACCCCTCAGTCTCCAACACTTTAGGGGAAAAAGCCCCTGCCCTATCCAGCCCCTCCCAATAGCTCAAACCCTCCAGTCTTAGCAATATCCTTGTAAATCTTTTCTGCATCCTTTCAAGTTTAACAACATCATTACCATGAAAGAGCGACCAGAACTGTATGCAATATTCTAAAAGTGGCCTAACCAATGTCCTGTACAGCTGCATCATGACCTCCCAACTTCTTTATTCAATTCACTGACCAATAAAGGCGAGCATACCAAATGCTGCCTTCACCTCCCTGTCTACCTGTGACTCCACTTTCAAGGAACTATGTACCTGCACCCCTAGGTCTCTTTGTTTGGCAACACTCCCCAGGACCTTACCATTAAATGTATAAGTGCTGCCCTCATTTGCCTTTCCAAAATGCAGCACCTCACTTTTATTTAAATTAAGCTCCATCGGCCACTCCTTGGTCCATTGGCCCATCTGATCAAGGTCCTATTGTACTCTGAGATAATGCTGTTCACTGCCCACTACACTACCTAGTTTGGTGTCATCTGCTTATCATAGGATCTTATAGGAAGTAGCTCCAGAATTATTACTTGCACTGGTGGTAATCTCCCAGGAATCTTTAGATTGTGGAAAAGTCCCAAATGATTGTAAAGGTACAAATGTAACACTTTTATTCAAAGGGAAGGAGACAAAACAAAAGGTAACAATGAACCAGTTAGTTTAACATGTGTAATTGGGAAAATGTTACACTCTATAACAAAGGATGTAATAGCACAATATTTAGAAATGCATTATACAATCAAGCAGAGTCAGCATGGCTTCATGAAGGGGAAATCAAATTTATTAGAATTCTTTTGAGGATGTAACAAGCAAGGTAGATAAAAGAAATGCAATAAATGAAATATGTTTGTATTTATACAAAGTGCTTGATAAGATTCTACATTTTAGGTACTTAACAAGCTAAGAGCCCAAGGTAATAGGTTTAGCGGGTAGTATATTCGCATGGAGAGAGGATTGACTAAGTAATACAAAGAGAGTTGGGATGAGGGGGTCATTTTCATGGTGGCAACCTGCAATGAGTGGAGTACCACAGGGATCAGTGCTGGGGTCACAATTATTTACAAAGTATATTAATGACTTGCATGAGGAAGGAGAATGAACCATCACCAAGTTTTTTAAAAGACACAAAAACAGGTGGGAAGGCAAATGGTGAGGATGATGTAAAGAGCCTGCAGACAGATATAGATAGATTAACTAAGTGGACGAAAACGTGACAGATGGAATATAATGTGGGAAATGTGAAGTTTTGCATTTTGGCAGGAAGTACAGAGGAGCTGAACATTATTTAATTGGAGAAAGATTGCAGAAAGCAACAGAACAGAGGAGTTTGGGAGTCCTTGTGCATAAATCACAAAAAGTACATTGGGTAATAGGGAAGGAAAATAAAACGTTCACCCTTATTTCAAAGGGAATGGGGTACGAAAATAGGGAAGTTTTGTTAAAACTATACAAAGCACTAGTCAGACCACAGCTGGAGTACTGTGAACATTTTTCGTCCCTTATCTAAGGAAAGATATACTGGCATTGGAGGCAGTCCACAAAAGATTCACTAGGCCGATAACAATGTACTGTCTTATGTGGACAGGTGAGTAGGTTGGGTTTTCATTCATTAGAGTTCAGAAGAATGAGAGGCGACCTTTTTGAAACATGGAAGATTCTTAAAGAGACTTTACAGGTAGATGTAGAAAGATTGTTTCCCCTTGTGGGAGAGTCAAGGACCAGAGGGTATCATCTCATTTAAGATAGAGATAAGGATTTCTTTCCCCCAGAGAGTAATGAACCTGTGGAAATATTTACTGCAGAGGGCTGTTGAGGCTGGGTAATTAAGTATATTCTAGACTGAGAGAGAGAGACATTTTTTTGAATCAGTAAGGGATTTGAAGGTTAAGGGGAAAGGCAGGAAAGTGGAGTTGACAATTATCAGATCAGTCACAAAGTCAATGAATGGTGGAGCAGTCGAGAGGGAGAAAATGCCTTACTTCTGCTCTTATGGATTTGTGGTCTTATATTACTGTTGTATTGCCTTGTTGTTTGGCGCTGACATAAAGCCAGGCAGTTTGTCCTGGTTGGGTCAGCAGTGATCAGGTGAATGGATGGACATGTCACAGTGCTGTACAGTAACATGTCAATCTCACACTTGCTCCATGTGACAGCAGCTTCTGTGCAAACATATTGCATGTGCCTCAAGCAAACAGTCACATCACAAAGTCCTATGGGAGTTATCCTCACAGGAGTCGAGGGAGGCACCCATCAGATGGGAGTCAGGGGTCAGGGGTCAGGGGTGGGGATGGTTGGGGTGTTTTAGCTTGCGAATCCAGTTCAGGGACTTTGGCATGGTAAGGCATCGAGTTGGGCAGTTACTATCACGATCCATACCATTACAGTCCAGCGAGCAGGTTACAGTCAGCATGAAGATCCAGAGACTACGTGCTGACCTCCTTTCATTGTTACCCTCTCTCCCCCTCTGTGCCCCTCCCTCACTTTGTGCCCTGCTCCCACTCAATGCCCCTCCTCCACTCTGTGACCCCCCCCCCCACTGTGTCCCACCCCCTAGCTGTTTCCGTCCCTCACACAGTCTGTCACCCACACTTTCCTTCCCTCACCTGTGCCCCTTCCTCACACTGTGCCCCTCCCCCACACTGATCTGTTCTAGTTATACAAACCTCTCACTGAATTTCTAAAAGTGAATTACTCCCATCTCTTCCTGAACATCCCCTCTCAACCCCGGTCCCCAACCCCCCACCCTTCCCACACCCCATTCCCCGGTCCAGTCCCAACACAGGACAAGAGTTAAATTTCCTGTCAGCTGAGGTTTTGAGTGTCCTGAAGAGATTTTGATGGGGACGAGGTGGTTAGTCAATGATGACCATTTGCTTTGCCTGCAGCCTGTTAATCACCTCAATGGGCCACATCAAGCTGACTGACTTTGGCCTATCGAGGATTGGACTCATGAACATGACGGCCAACTTGTATGAGGACCACATCGAGAAGGACACCAGGGAATTCATTGATAAACAGGTAGACGGTGGGTGTGAGGGTTAGGAGGAGAGGGGGCCTGAGGGACTTTATGAATCGTGCTATCAGAGGATAAGCTGAGGTCAGAGGGCTGAGAGTTAGTGGGGGTTGTGTTGTGTTTATGTGTATTTTTAGGGGTTGGGTTGTGTGAGAATTGAAATGTTGGGGGCGTGGGGTTTGGAAGTGCAGAACAGTAGGTACAGGTAGGTGGAATGAGGGAATTTCAGATGGCAGTGGGTTGATGAGAGGAAACATTTAGAGGGCAGGAGGTGGGTAGGATTGAACAGAAGGGCAGTGCGTTTGAACGGCAGGGCATCAGCATGTGGTGGGGTCAAAGGGCAGGATGTTTGGTTTTCTCAGTATTTTGTGATGGAATGAGTGTGTTTCAGTTTGTCGCTGAGTGTCCTTGTTTTTGGCAGGTTTGTGGAACACCAGAATATATTGCCCCAGAGGTGATCCTCAGACAGGGATATGGAAAGCCTGTGGATTGGTGGGCCATGGGAGTCATTCTGTTTGAGTTTCTTGTTGGTTGTGCTCCATTCTTTGGAGAGACTCCAGAAGAGCTTTTTGGACAAGTGGTTAATGGTAAGTTATTTCCGAGAATGCGTTGGAATTTCCAGAGTGTGATGGACACTAGGATTCTATTCCTAGGAAGAGGCTTGGTGCAGACTTACATTAGAGTGAGAGCTTGTAACTGTCTCCGGAGAAAGAATAAATGCTGAGGGACACTGAGGGTGAGCTGTTGGATGGAGGTGGATGGGAACTGGCATGAGGCTATCAAATCAGCTCTGTTTCTCCGCAAGTTTCTCTTCCATGGGCAGCAGGTGCCAGGTTCCTGCCACTCACTGTGTAAACTCATCCTCTTTATGTCTCCTGGTCAAAAAACCTAAAATGATGTCACCCAACCCTTGTGCTATTTGCTAATAAAAATACATTTTCTTTGCCAACCTTAATGAAATCTTTTCTAATCTTATACACATCTATCAAATCTCCCATCTGTCCGCTTTGCCCTAAGGAGCTTAACTGACGGTTCTTCAATCTAACCTTGTATCTAAAATCCTCCGTGTCTTGAAGCATTCTGAAAATCCCCTTGCGTCCTCTCAGTCACCCTCGCATTCTTGCCATTGTACAAGATGCTAGTTATTCACTAACCAGAGCTTTATAAAGAATCAGAATAATCTCCTTCCTTTGTATTCATGTAGAAAGCCCAAGATCTCATGGTTTAAAACAGGGGCAGAGAGTGCAAAAGCAAGGAGATGATGCTGAACTTGTATAAAACACTTGTTAGACTTCGGCTAGAGTATTGTGTTCAGTTCTGAGTTCCACACTTTCAGAAGGGTATGAATGGTGAATGGGTTGGAGAGGATATAGAAGTGATTTACAAGAACAGTTCCAAAGGTGAGAAATTGTAGTGATGAGGATAGATTGGAGAAGTTAAGATTTTTCCATTGGAGAGAACAAGGTTAGGAGGCAAGTTGATTGAAGTTTTCTAAATCATGAAAGGGTCGGTCAAAATAGATATGACAAAACTGTTCCTGCTTGTAAAATGATTGAGAATCTGAACGTATAGTTTTAAAGTGTTTTGCAAAAGAAGCAAATGTGAAATGAGAAAAATTTTTAAATTCAGCATGTAATTAGGGTATGGAATGCACTGCTTGGAAGTGTGGTGGAAGCAGATTCAATTGAAACGTTCAAGAGGGCATTAAATAATTATTTAATTGGAAATAATGCGCAAGAGTATGTGGAAAAGGCAGAAGATTGACACTAAGTCATATTGCCAATAAGTGCAGACTCAATGTACTGAATGGCCTCTTTCTGCATGTGACTCTGTAATTAATTATTTGCTGTATTATTAACTTCAAAGTTCTATGCACATGGTCACCCAAGCCCCTCTGTTCCTGCATATTCTTTAGAATTGAGTCATTACATCTATATCATCTTCCCTAGCCCTTCTGTCAAAGGGCATTACCTCACATTTCTCTGCATTAAATTCCACCAGCTATTAGTCTGCCCATCCTGCTAGACCCTCTACATCCTGTAGCCTGCTAATTGAGATTCTCTCTACCAAGTGGAAATCTGGTTTGCCCTGAACTACTTGGGAAAGCAGGTCTGCATGTGGCCTGGCAGGCCATCCCTGAGGGGCTGCAATCAACAGGAGTGATTTTCAAACACACTCGCTGAATGTGAGCCAGGAGATGGAGGAGGGCTTCTCCCTGATTCAGTCCACAGTTTATTCCTAGGGTCACCAGACTCAAAATGTTTACTCTATTTTATCTCCATAGATGCTGCCAGACTTGCTGAGTTTCTCCAGAAATTTCCATTTTTGTTTGTTACACATTTTCCCCATATTGCACTGTATCAACTAAGTTTTTGTCCATTTACCAACCTATGCATATGTCTTTGACTCTGTCTTTTCCTCACAACTTATTTTCCTATCTGCATTCATGTTGTCAGTAAACATGATTTCAAGACAGTCAGTCCCCTCATACTTGTCATTAATATAGATGATCCACTTGCCCAGCTCATTCTCCAGCAACCAGATCTAGCAATGTCTCTGTCCCATTTGGAGTGAGAAACATATTGGCTAAAAGGTTCTCTTGAACAGATTTCAGAAATTCCTCCTCCTTAAGCGTTAGTCCAACATTGCTAACGGTCCATTTTCCATTCAACACCTTACTGTTGTTTTCTTTAGATGTTTGAGGTTCTAATCTTTATTTTTATAGATATTTCCTACAATTCTTTGCTGTTTTATTAAAGTTGCTCACCCTTGTATCTGAATTATTTGTGTTTTTACAACAAGGTAAACGTTTCTGATATTATGGATGATGTTTCAGCAAGTCTGATTAGAGGATACCGCTGATATATTTTATTTTGTTGAGTTTGGAAGCAGCCTTGTATTATTTCAATAAATCTTGCAAAAGAGAATTTAACATAATCTACAAGAGCATTTTCTTTTAAAGTTTGAGCTCTGTATTCAAGTAATCTTTGAGGCAGGACCACTGCATAGTGGGTTAGGACAGTGTGCTCCGAACATGTTAATGGGGCCTGTAAAAGTTACCTCGGTCCTGTGTGAGGGACTCTGGGGACCAGGCCCATCTGGGACAAAAGAAATGAAATCCAATTGGTGATATTTTGCAGATGAAATGATATGGCCAGAAGGAGAGGAAATTCTTCCTGCAGAAGCCCAGGATCTCATCAGCAGGCTGTTAAAGCAGAATCCTCGAGATCGCCTGGGGACTGGTAAATGTGTCCATAATTCTGTCTGTACAGCAGCTCAAATAGTTTGTCAATTTCTAAAGGCTTGAATATATTTTAATGAGAAAATCAGATTGTTACCTGTCCCTTGACCCCATTTTGTGACCTTCGAGTGACGTTTTCCTGCCTTATCCATTATACAAGTGTTGATTAGCCCAAATATGAATTTCACTTTGGAAGTTGGGTGTGACAGAGTTATCTCCAGTTCCATCCGAGTCCCCAGGAAATGTATTTGTAGTAACCAGTGATTGTAGCTCCACTCCTTGCTCCTCACAAGACCACAAAGAGCTGGAAGGCAGAAACACTTTCACAGTGGCCAACATTCACTGGACTCTCCAGGACCAATAAAACTCTCCTGAGATGGGATGTTTGGATCTGTATTGAGTTTCACTTGGTGAGATGTGAGCAAAACTCTACATATAATCTCTATCCTTTCTATATTGCTCCTCATCAACTAAAGGTCACAATTCTATGATTACTTTTCATCAGATTTGTACCTGTCCATTAGCTTTTCACAAGTTTTATGATTGGGAATTGGGATTGAGGGAGGGGGATAGGATCAAGATAGGGCATGGAATGGGGGGAAGGTATAAAGAGGGAGATGGCATTGAATAGAGGATGGATTTTAAAGGTGATGAGATTGAAGGGTGAATGGGAATGAGGTGGGGATGGAATGGGGGATGGGATTGGCGGGAATAAGACTGAGGGGGCTGGGTAAAAGGGGGAATGGGATTGATGGGGGTGAGAGATGGGACTCACCCTTGCACTGTTTAATTATTTTTGACTGTTGTGTTGTGACAGGAGGAGCCCATGAGGTGAAACAACACAATTTCTTCACTCAACTGGACTGGAGTGGATTATTGCGTCAGAAAGCAGAGTTCATTCCTCAACTCGAGTCTGAGGATGACACCAGCTACTTCGATAGTGAGTTCAAATCAGGAATCTTAAGATCCTTGGATGTATAGTTATACGAGAACAGTGATTTGTTCATTTCTGATTTTTTTTCCCCTTTATTCATTCATGGGATGAGGGTGATGCTGGCTAAGACGGCATTTATTGCCCATCCCTAACTGCCCCAGAGGGCAGTTAAGAGTCAACCACATTGCTGTGGGTCTGGAGTCACATGTAGGCCAGACCAGGTAAGGATGGCAGTTTCCTTCCCTAAAGGGCATTAGTGAACCAGATGGGTTTTTCCCTCTGACGAATGACAATGGACAATGGATTCAATGCCATCATTAGATGGTTAATTCCAGATATTTTATTGAATTCAATTTCCACCATCTGCCATGGCAGGAATTTGAACCCTGTTCCCCAGAATGTTATCCAGGTCTCTGGATTAACAGTCCAGCGATAATACCACTCGGCCATTGCCTCCCTCTGTGTAGACTGTCACTATTGGACTGCTCTACCAGTCATTCCCAGAATTAAGGTCACTGCATCAATTAATGATCACCAATGACCATGTGTCCAGCTCACTCCCACTGGCACTGGATCCACCAATGATCATCAGTGACCACTTGTCTAGTCATTATCCTCAATTTAGAAGCATTTTCTCTAATGTCTCAGTGGCTGGTGATTCTTTCTAGTGTCACTATGTTCACTGATGTATTCAATGTCACTATATCTGGTGATTATCTTTATGTGGGTCCTATGTTGAGTGGAGGACGTGTGTTTGAATTATTGTGTTTGTCCATGCAGCACGCTCGGAGAAATATCAACATTTGGCATCAGAAGAGGATGAAGACACAAATGATGAAGAGTCGTCTGTGGAGATCAGACAGTTTTCATCCTGTTCGCACCGGTTCAGTAAGGTACAACAAATTCAATACAGGGCAAGTTTGGGGTAAGAATTCCGGAGGTCAATATTGAGAGGGTGACAGAGTATTGAAGGGTCAGTGCTGAGGGAACATGCCAGTGTTAGAGGGGCAGTGCTGAGGGAGTGCCGCACTGTCAGTGGGTCAGTGCTGAGGGAGTATTGCACTGTGTCAGGGTGAGTATTGAGGGAATGCTGCACGATGGGAGGGTCAGTGCTGAGGGCGTGCCGCACTGTCGGAGGGTCAGGGCTGGGGTAGTGCCGCACTGTCGGAGGGTCAGTGCTGAGGGAGTGGGCACTGTCGGAGGGTCAGTGCTGAGGGAGCGCCGCACTATTGGAGGGTCAGTGCTGAGGGAGTGGGCACTGTCGGAGGGTCAGTGCTGAGGGAGTGCCGCACTGTTGGAGGGTCAGTACTTAGGGAGTGCCACAATAATCATGTATAACCTTACTCTTCATTTCAATTGAACAAACTAAATTGGCAACATTTGTCTGCAGGTTGACTTCATCGTGTGTACTCAGTCAGGTTCTTAGAACAATATATTCTGGAATCAAATTGGATTGTAATAAGACATGATTAATTCACGATCTAATCATAAAAGATCCTCTAGGCAACAGTGATCATAACGTAATGGAATTTCACATCCAGTTTAAGCACAAAAAATGTGGATTCTTAAATGGCTTAAAGTTAAGTCAGGTAAATTACCAGAGTATGAAGACTGAGTTGGCTGAGGTAGACGGGGGAAATAGAATAAGAAGTAAAATGGGAGAACAACAATTACAGAGATGGCAGGAACTGCAAATGCTGGAGAATCTGAGATAACAAGGTGTAGAGCTGGATGAACACAGCAGGCCAAGCAGCATCAGAGGAGCAGGAAGGCTGACATTTCGGGCCTAGACCCTTCATCAGAAAACCTGAACAACAATTACAGACATTTATGGAGGTAATTTCTAAAGATCATTAAAGATATCTTCCATTGAGGATGAGAGACTCTGCTAGACAGATGCACTGTCTTTGACAAAAGGAAGTTAACTGTGGTCTCAAATTGAAAGGAAAGACTTTTGATGCTGCAAAAATTAGTGGTTGTTAGGGTTGGGAAAGATCTTGAAACCAGCAAAGATAAATGGAAAATGAAAGGTAAAATTGGAGCCTGAGAGAAAAGTGAGGAGATATAAAAACAGGCATTAAAAGCTTCTATAAGTGTATAAAAAGGGAAAGAGTAGCTAAAATGAGCGTTGGTCCCTTAGAAGGTGAGATTGTGATTTTAATAATGGGAAGTGAGGTGGCAGCAAAGGATTTGAGTATGTATTTTGTACCCACCTTTATAATAGAAGGCATGGAAAAGTCTCAAGAATTTTTGAAAGTCAAGAGCTAAATCAGGAGTAAGAATTAAGAACAATCACTGCTGTGAAAGAAAATGAAATGGGAAAATAAAATAACAAGTTTCAAGGTGCATGGCAGAAGTGTGCCAAAGACCCTGTCACAGTGTCTTCCAAACCCACAACTACTTCCATCTAAAA